TTTTAAATATGGTTCTTAGACAATTTTAAATCCCATACATGGTTTGTATGATATTCATATAAGACAGGCCTGTCTAGATAACAATTCCGTGACTAAATGTTTACATACAGATTTCTGCTTCTGTTGAACTACTTCCACAGTCTATATTCCAGTGAGTGAGCTTACGAAAACAGAAGTCTATTTTGGGGGGCTCTTGCTACTTATCACTATATTGCTTTTCAAAAGAGTCGTGCTAGTTTATAAAGACACAAGCGCTGGGTCTCTCAAGAACTTAACTAGCACTGAATATTCTACTTTTAAGTATCTTTACTTCTGTTGATTTCCTCACTGGAACACTGTGTCAGAGCCAGACTGCCTGGAGTTGAGTCTCGCTCTGCCCTAGTCAGCTGTCCGAGGCGGCAAGTTACTACCCCTCCCAGGGCCTCCGTCTCTGCCCCTGTGAAATAAAAAGAGCACCATGTCCTAAGCTGGCTTTCAGGATTTACATGGATTTGTATACGTTAAGCACTTAGTAAATATTAAGAACTGTGAAGTTCTTACATGTTATTGTGATGATGAAGATTATTTTAAACTGTAATTCTTTGATTACTTCTCAGGAAAAATGTTTCCCAGGATAAGTATTTAATATTTGTGTCTTGTTCTATGTAAATATTTTCTTCATGACCTTAGGTCACTGATCTATTGGCATCTTGGTTTGTTTGTTTTTTTTTAATTTGAATTACTTTTTCATGTACATATGTAGTTGAGTACTTAATCATCTTTGGTACAAATATTTTTTCAGCTTGTTGTCCACCTTTTAATTTCATGTCATTATTTTACATTTTAAATAAATTTCACACTCAATATAGTCCATAATTTAAAAAATTGAATCCTTCCCTTCATAGTCAAAGCTATGAAAGTTACCTTGCAGCAAGCAACACCCACACATTTCATTTCTGTTGGCTCTTCTACATTTTGAGATGGGTTACTTCGTGTAGCTGAGGATGGATTTTGCTAAAGTTCTAGGCTTTGACAGGGCAGAAGATAGAGCCGAGACTCTTCTATTTCGGGTGCCAGGAAGCCTTAGGAGCATTCCCAGCGATGTTGTTTGACACAATGGGGTCCTAGGACGACAAGATTGTTCGCATCTATGATCGAATCCAGTGGCCCTTGCTCCCTGAAAAAGTGACTACATGTAAAACCAGGCCGCGCTGGTTTCAAATCGTCACTGCTTACTGGTTGTGTGACTGCAGGAAAATCACCGAACCATCTGGGAGCCTCATTTTGTTTAACTGGGGATTAAATGCATATGAAAATCCTTAGCAAAGAGTAGCCAAAAATCAAACTCAACATTTGAATTCTTTATTTTAATGTAATATTTAAGATTATCTCATTTTCTTAAAGTGAGTCAGAAAAGGGAGTGGTTCTATATTAAATTTCTCCTGTTAATCACATTTGACTATGTGTACCAGAAATTAGCTACCCCACAAAAGATGACTAGAATGTGCCTGCTGTCTGTTTAGGACAAAGAGGTGGCTTTTGTTGTGTTCTGCTCCTTGTATTAGGCTTTTGTACAGTTGCTCCTTAAAACAAACCTATAGGTAAACAGAGCAGTTTAATCTTTTCTTTTCTTCTCTTGGTAAAGAAAACTGGGGCCCAGGAAGGTTTACTGACTTGCCTAGCGTCACACAGCAGTGCTTGCAACGAAACAAAAGCAGTTTCCCTGTCCCACACACTTTCCCACTGCAAGCTGCTCCCTCTAGGTGTACAATTGACTGAACTGGGTAATTTCGGATCCCTTCCGTTCCGGTTGACATAGTTATTAAGATCGTGGGCTCTGGATTCTGAGAGATGTGGCTGGGTGCCAAGCCCAGCTTCACTACCTGTCAGTTGTGCACCTTGTACCAGTCAATTAACCTTTCTCTCATCTGCAGTGTGGAGCTGATAATTTTACCAGTCTTATCAGGTCTCAAGGAGGATGAAAAGAAAAGGTGCAAGTAAAACCCTTCACACACATCAGGCAGGTAGTAAGCACTCAGAAAAGAATTTCCATTCTCAGCTAGATAAACAATGTCTAGAAATAGGTGAGTTTAGAGTTCTGAAGTCAAATTTGAGTTAGGGCACCAAATCGAAGTGCTTGATCATTAAAGAGTGCATGATATCATGGAGGCCTCTGGAGGTGTCCCAGTGCTGTGCCGTTTGACCCACTGTGGCATTTCGGGCACATAGAGCCACCCATGCCAACTCCGTGGGCAGGTGCCACATTCCTTACCTGTTCCCACTGGGAACTGCATGATTGGATATAATGTGAGAAGTCACAGCAACTGAGACATATAGTGTTAGATGGTTTATCTTGTGCTGGCACCCCGAGGAGCGGCTGTAAGGCCTAGAACTTGACTCGGTTGCACTGCTGTTCACTATACATTTACCAGTGGCTCCTGATCCTCTGCAGCTGCTCCCAAGTCTGCTTTTGCCTCTTTGCCTCAGTGTACCCAAAGTGTTTTTCTCATCGATCACTTGACATTGGGTTGTAATTCTCCTGGGGGCACCACAGATTTCATTCTGAGCCCAGACTTCACATTCCCAGTACAGAAAGCTAACTTTAGCAGTGACAAGACTGAAGGGGACTCCACCAAAGACCTAGTGACAAGGCAGAGGAGGGGGTTGCATCACACAGCACACAAAAAAGTAGATCAAAATCTCAGCTTTAAAAACTCACTTTCCTTCCCGAAGCCCTTTCCCCTGGCACAAACAGCCTGGCCTCCTTCCTTCTCTATGGACCACCCATTCCTTTTTGATGTTCCCAGCAATTTGGCTCTAGCCATTGCTCTGAATTTCCTCCTAAACCTTGTTCACAACTAGCTTGTTCCAGCCCCTTAAGAAAGCATTCTGGTCACCACGTCTATTTTCCCCAATCATGTCTCTGGCATCAAAACCCCATCCTTGAGCATCTCGTCAAAGAATCTACCCAACAGACCCAAACAGCTTCTTCAGGCGTGCATGCAGATTCTACTGAGAAAATGGCATTTGCTCAGTAATGACCCTATCGCCATGTTGCTTCAAGCTTGCTTGACTGTGAGCTTTTAAATAATAGATGACGCTTATCCCATGCTCACTGGGCCAGGCACTGCTCTAGGTGCTAGACAAGGATTTCCTTAACACGTCCTCAAAACAAAGCTTTATGATTAAGAAACATCATTAACCTGGTCTTACTGATGAAAACGAGGTGTAGTAAAGTAGCTAGTCCATGGTCACACAGCAAGTGGCAGGCCTGGCAGCGGACACCAGGTAGGATGGCTCCAAGCCCCACACTCTTAAGCAATACACTGTGAGGGAAAGGGCTGTGTGGTTCTCAGGGCCCAATTCCCAGCCTCTTGCACAAGGAAGTCCCTTGAAATAAAGAGGTGTTGACTCTTGAATGAGGGGTTAGATTTAGTTGGTCTTATTTTTTTCCCATTTCAGAATAACTACTCCCCTCCTTTCCACTCCATCATCAAGTTTAACTGAAAAGAAATTCACATAAGGAGCTGTCCATCATGTGCTGGGCACTGCACAGCAGTGGAGAAGCAGGAAAATACGAGGCAGAGTTCTCATCCTTGTGTACAAAGGTCATTGCAAGTGAGAAACATACACCGGCCAGTAAAGTATAATACAGCATTGAAAATGCCACAGTACAGGCATTAGAATACAGAGGTCACCCTGCAGGTGAGGGAGCAGCCAGCTCTTTAGAAGATGAGGCAAGGGAATAGTGTCTGCACTGAATTTTGAAGAAATTGGGGATGGAAAAGAAAGTAGCTCTAAGCATCATTCCTCAGTTCTGTCCTGCTGAATAATAAAGATTGATTGAAACAAGGAGACATGTCAGAAGGTAGAGCTCAGGAGAGGCTGGCTAGGAGCAACCTGGATTCCCATTTAGTACCTGACACTCCTCCAGGGGAAGATGCAGAGTCAGAGAGGGACCCGGGTAGAGAAGGGCCAGGTCCTCCTCTACTCCTGGGAGAGAACTCTGAGAACACTGGAGAATGGACAGGAAGATGTTGATGCCATAGCAGGCTTTTAGGATGGTCCATAAGAAGAAGAGACAACCGCAAAGCAAGTGTTTGAAGGTACCTTAATGAGATGTGGGAGTTTTGACATCATAGATTCCACTCTTTCGGTTTCAATGATAGCATTATTATTTAATATAGTTTGCCTTGGTTAATTCTCTAAAATCCTTTGACTTGAGGCAAGGTTCCTGATTTTATCAAATTAAGGAATCCACTTTATGCTCTATGTCTATTTCTTTAAGTCCAATCAGGAGTAAGAAGCCAGCATTGCCCATCAGATATTTCTTTTCATCTTTTCGTCTCTAAACTCATTCTCAGAGAGACAGTTAAGGATCTCCAATCTCAGATTCACAATTCTTTGCTGAGGTTTTTAAAAATGGAGCTTGACAAAGTGTGGCACAATGCAGTAATTTTCCAATAGGACAATCTTTGCTGGGCCATGTTTCTCTGTCCAGGTAATTACCTTCCAGGAAGGCCAGGAATACATCCAACTGACCAATGGGAAGCTTCAGCAATGTGTGGGCACTCAGAAGGGATGGCATCATTGTTTCTTCAAGTTCTGATCATTTAAAACCACACAGATGGGAGAGTGGGTAATTGTATCCCCAACACCCACGCAACCCACTTGCAGGTTGACACTCAATAAATGTTTGCTAGAGAATGAGTGAATAAATTAAAGGAAGAATAGAATTCCTACTAAGTGAAGAATAGAAATGAAGAAGTGTTTGCTAGAGAATGAGTGAATAAATTAAATAAAGACAGTTTGTTCTGTGGCCAAATAAACTTGAACTTGCTTAACTGTGTCCCTTCAAACTAGTCTCTTCACCCTGGGAAAACCGAGACAGCTAAGCTAGTTCATCGTCTTCTTAGAGAGAGGTCCAGATATTAGAATCACAGGTTACTGCTCCAGAAACTGGTTCCTGATGATGAGAATGCAGAGCCCTGAAAATGAAGCTATTAAATCTCAACACTTACAGATTGATATTAGCAAAGCAGCCCATCCTCAGAGTCTTCTCTCCGCCTCCAGTCTCCCTCTAGAACAATCCATTGGCATTGGCATTCTAAAATAGAAGTCTGATTGAAACTCTGCCCTGCTAGAAACAACTCCCCCTCACCTATGCGATAAAGGGGGAATAACATTCACTGAGAGCCTGCCATGTGCTATGGCTGTGCTAGAAATTTATACTTCACCTTGTTTCATCCGAACAACATCCCTGTGACGTGGGCATTATGTCCCCATTTTATAAACCTGGATGCTGAAACTGAGAGGGGTAAAGTAACTTGTCCTGAGTCATCTAGCCAATAAGTAATGAAACTCAGATTCAAACTCAGATTTGACTCACTCCAAACCCCCCAGGTCATTTCTCCTTATTCTGCACTGCCAAAAATCATTTCCATTACTACACATTGTCTGGAAGCCTTGGCAGGGCCCTTGGTGAGCTCACTCCAGCCCACAGTTCTAGCATCATCGCCCTAACCTGTGCACCCCCTCTCTCTGAGCTCCTGCCACAGCCTGACATGTTCTCCCAGGACACAGGTATTTTGCAGGGCTATTTTCCCCTATTGTTTATATACCTCCCCCTTTCTCACCCTGACCAACTCCTATTCATCCTTCAAGATCCAGCTCAAATATCCTCTCCCTATGAAAGTTTCTCTGAACACTATCCCCTCAACTAGGCAGTTGGTGGTCCCCTGTCCTGGGTACCCATTTCCCTTTGTACCCACCTTCATCACTCCGAGCAACTCTCCAGTCTCTTCCTGTCTTATAGCTCGTTGGCCATGGTTCCAAGTTTAAGAATCCATTACGAGGAGGTTCCATGTGCTGCCAGCCCTCCAGTTAGCAGATGCCACCTCCTCTCTGTGGAAAGCACTCACATTCACACAGCGTTCCCTACAATGAAATCAGGCAATTGTTTTAAAACGAAATCCTTCCTGAGTGGAATTAACCATCAAGTGAGCTGTGGTTCTATTTGCAATGAAATATGCAGTGTGTGGTAACTCTTCTGGTTTTGCACAAGGCACTACATTCATCTTTTAAAAAAAAATTATGACTAAGTGGCATCTATGAAATATATGGGCTATGGAACCTTGACATTAAGTTAGCCTCACACTGTCCCTGCTTCTCCCACTCCCATTCTATGAATAGTAGACTATGCAAAGAGCAGAACATATGATTTAAATATGATACCACCTTACAGGGAGGCTGAAGCTCAGGATTGTGCTATAGCTGGCTGAGAGGTTGTGATCCACACACAAAACTGCATCATTCACTTTCTGCTGATCTTGTTCTTTTGGCTAGAATATTGTGTTGCCATCTGCACACCTGATTGAGCTGGTCATAAAGATAATAACTATAATTACTAATATATAATAATAAACTGCTGTTGTTAATTGCTTATTATGTTCCAGGCAATGTTCATATGCCTTGTCATGCTACTTTCACCACAAGCTTGCAAATGTATGGCTTTGTGGTTAAAAACAAGTTCTGGAGTCAGACAGATGTGGGTTTATTTATTGACTTTTTTGAGAGAGAGAGAGGAGGAGAGGAGAGATGGAGGTAGGGAGGGGGAGAGAGGGAGGGAGGGAGGCAGAGAGAGAGAGAGAAACATCAGTTTGTTTTTCCACTTATTTACGCATTCATTGGTTGATTCTTGTATGTGTCCTGACCGGAAATCAAACCCACAACCTTGTCGTATTGGGACAACACTCTGACCAACTGAGCTACATGGCCAGGGCCTTAGATGTGTGTTTAAATTCTTACTCTTAACTTCCAAGCTATGTGACCCAAGGCAAGTCATTCAATTTCTCAAAGCTACATAATCCCTAAGTATGTAAAATGAGGGAAACAAACATATACCTCCTTCAGTTGTGAGAACTACGTTCATCAGTGTAGAGCTACTTAGAAGCTCTAAAGTGGTGGAAGAGCTATTTAGCATCTTACTATCCCTATTATGCTGGATGAAGGAACAGAGGCTCAAAGAGCTTATGTAGCACGCCCATGGTTATACAGCAATAGGTAGTAAAGTTGGGGTTTCAGCCCAGGTCTGCCTCTTTCAAGTGCAGCACAGTAATACTGCACAGTGGTTAAGAATACAGCTGTCAGGGTTCAAATCCTGGCTCTGCTACTCATTAAGATTTGTCATCTTAGGGAAGTTACTTATCCTCTTCTCTATGTCTCAGTGTCCCCATTAGAAAAAGGGCTGCGGTGGGTTTGTTGTGACAGGTAAATGTATTGACATATGCACAACTCTTAGGATAGTGCCTGAAAGACAAGAAATGCTATGTAAGTGTTTGCCATTACAACAACTTTCTTATTCTTCCATACATTGTGTCTGGTTCAACTCCTATTGCAATAGTCAGGGTGAGTGGTAGTTGAAATTTGGGCAGTTGCTCTGGACAGTTCAGTTCTCCCTGCTTTTCTAAGATATTTCTCAGGTCCCTAAATCTCCTGCAGAATAAACACTCCCGGTTTCTTCACCTGCTCCTAATGACACCATTGTAAAAAGTTCCCTTCACTACATGCTCTGGACTCTTTATCCTGTAGGGCAAGGTTTCTCAAGCTTGGCACTAATGACATTTAGTCTGGATAATTCTTTGTTGCAAGGTGTGGGGCAGAGGGAGGGGGGCAGGAAAGGGAGGGGCACTGGCTGTCCTGTGCAGTGTGGGATGTTTAGCAGAATCCCTGGATTCTACCCACTAGAGGTCAGTAGAATCCCCTCCCAGTGTGACAACCTAAAATATCTCCAGACATTGCCAACTGTCCCATGAAGGTCAAAATCACCTCTACTTGTGAACTGCTAGTCCCACCCCAAAAACCCTGAAAAAACTATTGGGAGACAGTCTGGGAGCTGCAGAGGATTTACTTTAGCTCCTCTGATGGTTAAGCAGCTCGTTTTTGCAGAGACCTTGGTGACTGCCAAGACCCCTAAGTCTTCTTCATGGCTGCTGCTGCTGAAGAAGTGCATCTCTCCCCCAGAGAAGTGTTAGAGACTGTTCAGTGGCCCAGCTGGTGTACGACTACCAAGACAATCCTCTCCAAAAACCACCTTCCCCAAGCCCAGAAGTGGCCACCATCTTCTAGTCTCCATACCCACTCCTCCCACTCGTCTTCAAGGTCTGGTTCAAATGCCACAGCCTTAAGAAGTTCTCCCAGTGCTTCGTCAACACTCTCCTCTCCCAGCTCTGGTTTACTGTGCTTTGTTTGCATCCAGTGGGCTGTTTCTCCCCAAAAGATTGTCTGCTCTTTCAGAGCACGGGCTTACTCAGGGAATCCCATAGTTTCATTTGCCTGCTTAGCACAAAATCTATCCCAGTAAATGTTCTTTGAATGGAGTTATGTCCTTGCCTTTTAATAAACCTTCTGGGTCCTAACACATCAACATTCAACAATTCTTGGCAATCGACACCTTTCACACACTGTCTCCATTTACCCACCCCACCAGTCTCCAGATACATTCTCCAATTTAGGCAGCTCACTGCCTCTTCCCAGAAACAAGCCTACCTTATAGCCCATGAACACCTGCTTCCCTAATCTGAAACACCTATCTCATCTTCAAATCCTACTTATCTTCTGGAGCATAGCTCAGCTTATGTTTACTTTAAATCGAATTTGGAATAAGACAGGAAATAAAACAAAAACCCTATTTTCACAACAGAGCCTTCCATTTGTTCTCAAAGGAAGACTATTGGAGTGACTGATATAGGCTAACCAATCAGACAAGCATAGGTTCAAATCCCAGCTTGGTAGGTTTCATAACACCGTGACTTTGAGAAAATTACTTTACCTTACTATCTCAGTTTCCTCATCCTTAGTGAATATCATACCAAGTGCCTGTAGCATAAGGTAGTTGAAAAGAATGGGATAATGCCTATAGAGCATTTAGCCTAGAGGCCAGCACCTGGTAAGCATTTCAGAAACATCAGCTATTACCAGCTCCTTTGTGACCCATTCACCTCCCACAGATCTCCCTTTCCGAATTCCTGCAGTCCATGGACTCTGTGCTGTCTAATGCATCCCTCCATCCTATGCTGTATTACGTTGTTCACGTGCGTGGATTTAGGACACAGCTGTTTCTCTCTAACAGGCTGCTGAAATATTCTGGAGCCGGCAATTCAGTCATTTGATAAATACCTGCCATGTAGTCACCATGCACCATGCACATTGGGCTAGATAGTGTGGATGGAAAACACAGATATATTGCTTGGACCCTGATCTCTAAGAATTTACAATTCAACAAGGAAAATAATATGTGTACAATAAAGAGTTATAACCACATTAAAATGAGTAGTGTCATTGGAAAGATGTAAGAGTCCAAAGGCCAGACGAGTCCCTTTTGCCTGGGGTGATCTGCAAAGATTCAGGACACCTGGGTCTTACAGAGATAGGAGATGGTGTGAGAATGCTTTATCAGAACATGGAACAGTTGGACAGAAGCTTAGTGATGGGAAGGCAAGAAGGTTATGTGGGGAACTGAGCAGTCCAGTGTGTTTCACTTGGAGTATGTGAAAGGCAGCCATGAGCGATAAGGTTAGAAGGCAGGAGGGACCTTGAATATAAGGCTGCACAAGTTGCATTTCATTCTTTTGGTATGGGGAGCAACAGGAGGACAGAGGAAGGCAATGGTTGGCCCAAATTTGTGCGACTGGAAGCTGACTCCAAAAGGATGCATGAATGTTATTCATGAGGCCACCCAATATATGAATAATAATTTGTATAGGAAATAGAGGAGTCAATTTAGGGAAATCGCCGTGAGTATAGGAGAGGGGAATGAATGTGGGCAAGACCCTGTGAATGTGGAAAGACATGGATTTCTGGGTGGTCTTCCCTTTGTCCCCTATAGTCTATTCTTCACACAGCAGCCGGGGGGGGGGGGGCTTTGATCTTTATCTACAAGGTCATGCCACTTTTCTGAGCAAAACCATCCAAAGGTTCCTCATCTCACTTAGAATTAAATTTTAACCCCCTGTTCATACCTTACAGCACCATCTGCTGACTGTAAGTCCTGCTTCTCTAGCCTCATCCATTCAATTTCAACCTGTCACTTGATGCATTCCAGCTACTGACCTTTTCGCTGCTCCTCAAGCATGCTGCTCCTCCGGGCCTGGGCATTTGCTGTTCCCTCTGCCTTGTACAGTATTTGCCCAAATGTCCACATGGCTGGATCCTTATCCTGGCCTCTGCTCAAATCTACCTCCACAAAGAGACCTTCTCTGATGAAATAAGCAGCACCCCCATCCCATCACTTTCTATCTGCTTTATTTCTACTTACAGCATTTATCATTTACTAACTGACATTAAAATACACACTGATGTGTTTCTATTGGTCATCCCCACTAGAACTCGAGTTCCATCGGTTTTGGTTCCTGCTGTATCATCAGTGTAAATACATGAATAATCCCTGGCTGGCGTAGCTCCAGTGGATTGAGTGTGGGCTGTGAACCAAAGTGTCACAGGTTCAATTCCCAGTCAGGATACATGCCTGGGTTGCAGGCCATGACCCCCAGCAACTGCACATTGATGTTTCTCTCTCTCTTTCTCCCTCCTTTCCCTCTAAAAATAAATAAATAAAATCTTTTTAAAAAGATCCCAATCAAACTAGGTAGGTTTAAAAAATAAATAAATAAAAATAAATGGATAATGAGGGGAAGTCAAGAAAACACCAGCATCTCCAGTTTTCGAAGGTAGTGGAGTTGCCATCGACCAAGATGGGAAATACAGAACAAGAGAATTTGGAAATGGAAGATGGCATCATTTTCCAGCATTTACATCTGTGGTACTAGCAAGAAACTCCAGTAGACAATCCTAGCTGGTAGCTCAGAAAAGGACTGGAATTCAGGAGGGTATTAGGATTCAAGAATTAACCACAGAGAGGTAGCCGGAATTGCTCAGCC